TTTGACTTACGATTTTTTGACTTTTTGGTGAGTTGATCAAAACATAACCCCATCGTAAGTCAAGGAGCATCCATGCCCATTTATCTGTTTGTTGTTTGATGTAGGAACGAGACCTTTTCTATGGATATGGGACCATCGATTAAAGTTACTCTCATTTTTTTAAAATATGATATTGATAGTGCATTTTCTACTATTTCTGGTTTTAGTTTCTTTGAAATGAACTAGTGAGTTTTTGAATAAATCCAGAGGCAAAAGCTTTACAGATTTTTTTTCTTTTGGAGAGGTCAGGGTGCGTGTACTTGCCACAAAGACAGAGAGAGACAGAGAGACAGAAAGTGAGAAATCACCCCCCAGGGGGAATGGCCACGCTGCAATCCCTTCTCCTCCATTCTCCTCTTGGGATCTTGGGCACGCACGCACACACGCCCAGCATGAGTTTAAGCCACAGGGTCTGGGACTCAAGCCACTGTCAGCTACATGGGAGTCCAGTGACATAGCCATTATGCCAACTGCTGGTCCCAAACTTTAGAGATTTTAAGTAAGTTTTATTAGTCAATTATAGTTTTATCATTCATACCTAATTCCATTTTTAAAATTCAGATGTTTCCAAAGCATTCAACGTTTTTCTTTTCCCACATTTATGACATCCATGATGCCAGAAAGAGTTGGGTAGATGGTTGTCTCTCAGTGTGCTTTCTTTCTTTCGGTTTTTTTTGGAGGGGTTTTTGCTATAGGGCGCGTGCACTTGCCATAAAGAGAGAGACAGAGAGACAGGAAGCGAGAAATCACTCCCCGGGGAGGTGGCCACGCCACAATCCCTTCTCCTTCACTCTCCTTTTGGGATCTTGGGCACACACGCACACGCACCCGGCATGAGTTTAAGCCACCAGGTCCGGGACTTGAACCGTGGACGACTACATGGGAGTCCAGTGACATAGCCATTACACTAACTGCTGGTCCCAGTGTGCTTCAGAATGTGAAGGATGAGGTGGTTAGGTGGAGAATTTCTTTGGCACCTAACAAGGAATGATGAGCATTTGTGTTTGGAACTCAGAAGGTACAAGAAAGCACCAGTGTCCAGGTGGGGCACTGCAGTGACCAGTAAGAGGCCATGATCAGAGAGTTTGTCCTAGCAAAAGGCAAAGGAGCATAGAAGATTCCATTTATTGAGCACTTCTCTTTTGCTAGACACTACGCCTACCCCCTCACAGGCATTATTTTGTGGACAATAATGTTGTGGAATGCTTATGACAATTCTCCTTTTCAGATGAAGTCATTGACCCATTTCTTGAAACAAACAGGACTGGGATTACAAAATTGTTCTGTCAATCCTCAAAACCACCCTCTTGAACCAATGTTCCTCCACTTGTATTGTGTGAGTGATATTTCATCGTGGCATTGATTTTGCATTTTCTTGATGTGATACCTAGTTTTGGAAGATATACTCCATCACTTCTGCTCTGTCTGAGTCACTGAATTCTTTCTGCACTTAGAAGGAAGGGAATTAAGCTCCATCACTTGAAAGGGAAGAATATAAAGAATCCATGCTAACTCTGTGCACAGGTGGCATGCTACTGTACTTCTCTTTCTAAGGCGGTGTTGGGTGATGTCACACTGGCAATTTGAAATGATCATGGTGGGATACTTATACCATGGAAATCATCAAGCACTTGAAATCAGGCTTTTTCTTTCTTCCTCCCAGAGAGCTGAGTATTAAACATTGACCAGCACATGACTAGATAAATATAGAACTATGTCTTTACAGAATATTTATGGAATAAGTGAAAGGTAGACAGATTTGGAAGGAAGGGAATAAAAGGTTATTGAAACAGAGAAAAACAGTTTCTGGACTTGAAGATAATAGTGGTCAAACAGGAGGTTAGGGAAGCTTAAATATGTTCATACAGATGTCCAGACATGACATAAAAAAAGAAGCCCTCTCTTATTCTTTCTCTTCTTGCCCTCTCTCTTTCAAATTATGTGCGTATATAGTTTTAAGTACAGGTGGCATATCGGATTTATTTATGGATACCCAATACGAACACACTGGACAGTTGGCATGCAGTATTTTTTTTTTTTTTTTGAGAGAGAGCTTTTTGCTATAGGGGGTATGTACTCGCCAGAGAGAAACAGAAGGCAAGAAATCATCCCTTGGGGGGATAGCCATGCTGCAATCCCTTGTCCTCTATTCTCCTTTTGGGATTTTGGGCATGAACGCACATAGGCCTGGAATGAGATTTAAGCAGCCGGGTCCAAGACTCGAACTGTGTTCATCTACTTGGGAGTCAGCAATGTAACCATTATTCCATCTGCTGGTACTGGCATGTATTTTTTTTTTTTTTTGGCCCCCGTAATCAGGATGAATATAATCTTTAGCACAATTGCCTGTGAAGCCACAAGCAAGTAATAGATGCTCCAGTGAAGTTGGCACAGCTGACCTGCACCTAAAATAGCCCAGAAATTCAAGGACTTATTTTAGTTTCTTTGAAATGATGCCTTATGTGGTATGCCCAATTATTATGTGAGTAGTACTACCCTCTAACAGAGAAGGAATTTATGTCAAAAGGAAAACTTAAGAATAATAGAATTTTAGATCTTTAAGAGACCTTAGGAAACTTATATTATTTTTGGGACCACCAGTTGGTGTAATGCCTATGTCACCAGACTCCCACGTAGCCAACCGTGGTTTGAGTCCTGGACCCGGTGGCTTAAACTCATGCCAGGTGTGTGGGCGTGCGTGCCCAAGATCCCGAGAGGAGAATGGAGGAGAAGGGATTGTGGCGTGGCCATCCCCTCTGGGGGGTGATTTCTCACTTTCTGTCTCTCTGTCTCTCTGTCTTTCTGGCGAGTGAATGTGCCCTATAGCAAAAACCTCTCAAAAAAAAAAAAGAAAGAAAAGAAAAAAAAAAGAAAACTTATATTAGTTTTCCAAAGTGTGTTTGCCCATCAAACATCAAAATCAGAAATAACTTTTTTGTAGTTAAACCCTAGCATTTGTTGATAACTGCGACCTATCTCAGGCCTAATGAACTGGTGGAGGCTTGAGAATCTGAATATTTTATAAACTCTCAAGATGATTCTGTTAGATTCAGAAGTCCGAGAATGAATAATCTAAACCAAACTTTTCATTTTCTAGACAAGGGAAACAAACATCTAACAGTAAAAAGACCCCTGCAAGTGAGACCACATAACTAGTATGATTTCATCTATTACTAGAGAAGTAAATGAAACAAAACAAACCAACCATAAATTTGATATTTTGGAGAAAATAGAAAAAAAAAGTGCTTTCTGTGTTAAGAGACAACCGAAGACCAATACAGGACTTCAAAGGATAGTATGTTGTTTGTGTGTGTAGTTACAAGTCAATATGCCCCACCTAGCCACAAATTAGTGTGGTTACTTTAAATTGCAAACATGACAATCGTAACCTTCTACTTCTGAAGTTACTGGTTTTAGCTACTCTATTTTCTTTTTCTAGATTTATGAGGTTGCTCTTTTGGGCATGATTTTAGAAATGTAATTATAACTCTGGTTTCAAGCTTTTGGACCATGTAAACAAACACAGATTGGTCACAGTAGGAAATACACAATTTTAAGCTCTGCCTACACTGACAAGAAAAATGGCCGAGTATGGATCAATTCAACGGAATGGCGTGTTCTTATAGGGGCAGCGTGTCCCCCAAAGCCCTCTAAAGGTCTGTGCATGTCTGCTAAATGTAGTCAGAAGAGTTCAAAGCCAGTCTTTCCGATAATCCTTTACCAGCTATGTCTTTTTATTGTACTTTTTAATCCAATAAGAATTAGTTAGACATCTGGATTGATTTCCAGGAAAAAGTGTTTATTCAGTGCAGTGCTTTCATAGACAAGTGGAGAAAAATGTTCAGGAAAAAAAATTTTAACATAAAAACATTACCTGCATGGTGTCCAATTTTTCTGCTTGGGTTGCATTACCCGATGATTATTAGATCTGTACTGTTCTTAAATCCAAATGCTAATCTGTCCAGAGTAACACCTGCTCCAGATGTTGCTCTGAGAGTGTAAATCCCATTTGTGGACTGAGTATTTAAGCTGTACATGATGTCATATTTTCACAATAACTTTGCAAAAGGAATAGAGGTGTCATTTATGAAGATCAGAGCCTTCGTTCTATAAGCAGGATTGAATCTTATAGCCAAACTGAATTATTTGTCTAATGCACTAGTGGAGTTATATTTTATTTTCTCCGAGGTTTTGCAGAAGAGAGTTGGGGCAGGTACTACCAAAGGACGTTGTCTTATCTGTATTTTTTTTCCCCTGGAAGAATCCAGGACTATGCATAAATACAGTGAAAGCCAGTATCTATAAATTGCTAGAGCGTATTTGTGTTCTTTTAAACTTCTAAATCAAAGCGTACAAGGTCTTGATTTCTAGCCAGACTTTGCAATAAAAGAACCCAACCCTTGAGTTTGTGTGTGCACTATTGATGCGGTGATGAAAGCTACATCTGAAGGGGAAGGCAAGCGACTGCCATACTTTCTTTCCTTTTTTCTGGAATGTTCTCTAATTCTTGGTGCTTCAAGATGGAAACCCTGGTCGCCTTGGAATAGAAGGTACTTTCAAAGGCTCCCAATAACAATCTAAGAATTTTTTTTTTTCCACGCGCATTTTCTTATTCCCTCTCTCAATGACAGCAACGTTCCTGAACCCAAACCTTAGCTGTCATCTCACCTGCGTCGCCCCTGGTGCCATGTAGCTTTGACGTAGCTCTGAGTCAACAAATAAAGCCCTCCCTGATGAACACGAGCCGGCCCCTCCTGCAGTGGTTTCTCCTGCAGCTCCCCTGGGCTCGGAGGCGGGTAGTGCAGCCCGTGGAGCCGCGGCTTCGCCCCTCTCCTCTGGGTGGCCCCCGCGCGCGGGCTGACACTCTTTCAGCTGGGGAAGGTGAGGCGGGAGGAGGCTGGTGCGGAACCTGCCGCCTCCTCAGCAGCGTGGGCCAGCTAAACCAGGGCCGGGGGGCCCGCCAGCGTAGACAGGCACCCGCGGCGGGGGCGGCAGAGAGCAGCGATGGCCGGGCGAGGAGGCCGGGCGCTGCTGGCGCTGTGCGGGGCGCTGGCTGCCTGCGCGTGGATCCTGGGCGCCCAACGGTGTGGCTCGAGTGCACCGCCATCAGCAGGATCTACACGGTGGGGCGCAGCTCCGAGGCCAGGGAGCTCCTGGTCATCGAGCTCTCCGACAACCCTGGTGTCCATGAGCCCGGTAAGGGCGCTGTCCCCTGCCAGCCTCGGGGGCATCTCGGAGGGCCGCAGGGGGTCGAACTGGTGGCGGGGGCGGGGGTGTGGGACAGACGGAAAGGAGGGCCCTTGGGCCCGTTCTGGTACAGGGTGTCTGGGTGGAAGGTGGAGTGGAAACCGGGAAGACCCTACCCCGAGTGCTGCGGGTTGCCAGGGGGACCCCCTAGCTGATCGCCTCGCCCGATCCCTCCTGCCCTCAGCCGTCTCCCCTGCCCTTAGTCCTCTTTGGGGAGCGGAGGCGGCAGAGGCTGGAGAGGGTGAGGGTCGGAGTGTGCAGCTAGCTGATGCCCGCGCGCGGAAACCCCGCGGCCACCCGCACTTCTGTCAAACGCCCAGCGAGGTACTGAGTCCTCGGTAAGGAGATCGCCTTCCCGGCAGACGGGAGTCGCAAGCGAAGGTGCTCAAGGCAGGACTGAGAGGAAAGACTCCAGGGTTTTTCTTTTGTTTGCTACTTGGCAGAGGACCGGGCACTGGGGCTGCAGACTGTGTCCCTGGCTCTACCTGTAGGTGCGTCTTAGGAACACTCGCTGCTGTCGACGCTCCAGAATGTTGACAGTGCCAAGTTGGGGCGGAGGCGGTGTGCGCGGACACGGAGGTCCTCCTGCCAGGGTGAAAAAGTGGGCCCTGACAAGCATTCCCATTCCAACACGGCGCAAGGCCTTTCTAAAGAAAAAGGAGCGTGTCGTTTTCTCCGCGGTAACCACCTGAGATGACCACTTTGAGACTGGATCTTTATTCCCGTTGATGTCCCCACCCAGCCATTTTATTCCGCTTGCTTCTGAGTGTGTAATGACAGTTTTTCACTTTATGCGAAACGTGTGATATTTATTATTAACATGGACTTTTAAAAATGTTCTTGGCGCGTTTTTCGTTATGTTTCTGCTCTTCAAAAATGATGTAGGCCTGATTACCTGGTAGTAAAAGAACTGGTTGAATAATCTGGGCATATAATATCAGCATGAAATGCTCAGTTTTTTTAATGACAAAGAAAGCAAGAGAAATAGTCTAAAAATTCTGAATATGAGGCCAGAATAGTTTTACAATGACATATAAGAACCAAATGAGAAGCTTTTAAAAGAGGTGATCCATGGGGAATCAGCTGCTAGCGTAATGGCTATGTCGCTGGACTCACACGTAGTCGACCGCGGTTTGCGTCCCGGACCCGGTGGCTTAAAACCCACGCGGGGCGCGTGTGCGTGCGTGCGTGCCCAAGATCTCGAGAGGAGAATGGAGGAGAAGGGATTGCGGCGTGACCATCCCCCCTGGGGGGTGATTTCTCGCTTTCTGTCTCTATGTCTCTCTCTCTGTCTGGCGAGTGCATGCGCCCTATAGCGAAAATCTCTCTCTCTCTCAAAAAAAGAGGTGATCCATGGAGACATTTGATGTTCCAAAGGGTAATGTATGGGGTGACCAGCAGTAAATATTCAGGAATTAATTTTTTACCTTCGATGTATGCAAAAAGGTTTGTATGTTTGTTGTCAAAACCCTAAAATGAGAATCTAGAAAAACATTTGTTGTAATGCACTGTGGCAAGATTCAGCATGTAGAATTGGGAGAAAAAAGTAAGTTTATTAATTTTTTTTTTTTATGAGTGAGAGAAACAACGAGAGTGAGGGACAGACAGAGACAGCATCTCTAATAGGGCCTTGATGTGGCCATCCACCCCAGAACTTCAGCCAACCAGGGGTCATGGGTTCTCAGGGAGGTTTCCCAACTCCAACCCAGATCCTTCCTGTGCAAATCAGGCAGTGCATGGTGCTTTACTGCTGTGCCTGCTAGAATTGAAATTTTCAAAATTAGTTTTATACTGTTATCTGGGATTTAAAACATTGTAAGTTTGATGACTCATTTTTCAACCAAGTCAAACAACCAAAGTCAAGACATCCCAGGCACAGTTAAAGCTAATCTAAATATTTGTGACCAGCAGATGGCGTAATGGCTTGCTGGACTCCCATGTCGTCAACCGTGGTTCCAGTCCCGGACTCCGTGGCTTAAACTCACGCCGGGCACGTGTGTGTGCCTGCCTAAGATCCCGAGAGAAGAATGGAGGAAAAGGGATTGCAGCATGGCCATCCACCCTGGGGCGGGTGATTTCTCGCTTTCTGTCTTTCTGTTTCTCTCCTTCTGGCACATGCACGTGCCCTATAGCAAAAACTTCCCCAAAAAAGAAATTTGTGATTCTGCTGCTGCCTACTTAATTAGGATTACTTGTTATTCTACTTTTTTTTTGGAGAGGTTTTTGCTATAGGGCATGTGCGCTTGCCAGAAAGACAGACAGAGAGACAGAAAGTGAGGAATCACCCCCCCGGGGGGGATGGCCATGCCACAATCCCTTCTCCTCCATTCTCCTCTTGGGATCTTGGGCACTCACGCACACATGCCTGGTGTGAGTTTAAGCCACTGGGTCTGGGACTTGAACTGCAGTTGACTATGTGGGAGTCCATCGACATAGCCATTACACCAACTGCTGGCCCCTGTTATTTTACTTTTTATAGATTGTTTCTCAGAGTTTGTCACACTGGTATCCTAAAGAGATTACATGAAAGTTAATTTGTTGTTTTGTTTCAAATTTAGAAATAAAGTGATAAAAGATTATCATTAGACTATCATACACTTTTTATTTAAAAATATTTATTTTATTTATTGCTTTATTATTATTATTTTTTAAAATTTGGCCAGAGAGAGACAGAGAAAGAAAGGGAAAGTGAGAAAGCAAGCCACCAGGTCTGAGACTCAAACCACGTCTATGTGGGAGTTCAGTGCCTTGACCACCATGCCATTTGACTGAACCTATGGATATGTCTTTGAAAATGAAAACAGTGATTCTTTTGCTTGACTATTTGGAATGTATGCATAGTTCATCAATTTTGCAAATCCCTCTTTTAGATTGCAAGCTCTGTGAGGTAGGGACTGAGTCTTTAGCACCCAACTCCAGTTTGGCACACAGTAGGCCTGAATATACAATATGCAATAATATATTATGGAAAAATACTCAGTATATATTATGGAAAAATTAATCAATCAATAGCTGACTAACACCATGTGTCAAAATAAATATTTTATTCTTCGTACACAGAATATACATAGATTTTATTCAAAGACAAAGTCAGAAATACTGTATGATATGAGTGTCACAATTTATGTTAAATGGAGGAAAATTTAAGTCCATGATATTACTTACTATTAGAATACAAAAATGACTATTATATTTTTAAGAGTAGACATAAACTATTTTAAACCGACACTAAAATAACTACAAGAGTGATTTCTCCTTCTTTTTTATGAAGGGTTAAGTAGAACTAGTCAGTGTACAGGTCTGATCATATATAAGTACTCCACAGTAATTGTGTGAGTTAACTTTATATAAAGTTTTAGAGAAAAGAAGATGTTCACAGTTCTTAAATGGTTTTCAAATTACTGTTAGATTGGCATTTTCTTTTTAGAGACATTTTTGCTATAGGGCACGTGTTCTCACCGGAGAGAGAGAAAGACCGAGACAGAAAGTGAGAAATCACCCCCACAGGGGAATGATCACACCACAATCCCTTCTCTTCCAGTCTCTTCTTGGGATTTTGTGCATGTACGTACATGTGCCTGGCATGAGTTTCTTTTTCGTTTTTTTTTTTTTTTTTTTTTGGCTGTAGGACACGTGTGTTCCCCAGAGACATAAGGCTAGATATCCTCCCCAGGCCGTATTGCCACACTGCAATCCCTTCTCTATTCTCCTCTCGGGATCTTGGGCATGCATAAACATGCACCCAGCATGAGTTTTAACCTACCTGATGTGGGACTTGAACCACAGTTGGCTATGTAGGAGTCCAGAGATGTAAACATTATGCCATCTCCTGGTCTCTAGATTGAGTATTTTAAGAAATGAGGGAACCAGCAGTTGGCGTAATGGCTATGTCGCTGGACTCCCATGTAGTCGACCGCGGTTCGTGTCCCGGACCCCGTGGCTTAAAACTCACGCCAGGCGCGTGTGCGTGTGTGCCCAAGATCCCGAGAGGAGAATGGAGGAGAAGGGATTGCGGCGTGACCATCCCCCCGGGGGGTGATTTCTCGCTTTCTGTCTCTATGTCTCTCTCTGTCTGTCTGGCGAGCGCACACGCCCTACAGTGAAAATCTCTCCAAAAAAAAAAAAAAAAAAAAAGAAAAAAGATCTCCTGATTCTGCAGTAAAAATGAGTTCATACAGTGTTTTTTGAGCCTTGTCACAAAGCACTGAAGCTGGACTAGGTTCTATGGGATGTACGGTGATACACAGAGCAGGCCATGCCCTCAGGAGGACCGAGACTTGGAGTCTGAAGAACAGCCAGCATAAAGGTGTGTGGGGCATCAAGCATGGCTGTGGGAGGAATGGAGAAAGGAGTTGAAGGACTGGGCTACTGAAGAATGGATGGCAAGAAGGCAGGAAATTACGTTACTGACATTTACAAATTCCTGGGTGGTCCTACAGATCTGTGTCTTACTAGAGACCTCTGCTATTGAAAGCGAGCAACTGTCTTAACTATAAAATCACCATTTAAGTTTTGTTTGTTTGAAATAATATTTCTGGTTCAGCTTTAGAAAATATTTAATGTAACAAATAATTTGCTTGACTAAAACTTCCATTTTCCAGTAAAAAAGAAGCCATTCGCTAATTTTTCTTAAATCTATATAATTTTTTGGATCATTAAACAATTTTTAGTTAATTTCTCAGAGTCTATTTATAACAATAGAAGAACTTCAACAAAATAAAATAACCTAAACACTTGAAGTCCTTTTTTGTGGTAGAACCAGCAAGTGAGAGGTTTACATGGTTAGATGAGCAATTTGAGACATGTTTGTTGACGTCATCAACTTCCTGAGAAGAAAGGCGTTTATTCAGAGTTGATCTTGAACCTGTCTCCTGAAAATGATTCTCTCACATGTCCTAAACTTGAACTCATCAAAAGGGCAAGGAAAATTCCATTTTGAATTGAACAGC